CCTATTCTCATTTACAAAAATAAAACAAAGCCAAGCCTTGTGTGGTTGTTTACTAAACTGGAGGTAGATTCTCATCCTCTTACAAGCATGTTAGTTACTCCTTGGAGATTGCTTCATTAGCATGAAGCAAAGTAAAGGTTTTTAAAGGAAGAATAAGAGATAGATAAACAAATACTGTGCTAGTATATCAGCATATATAAGGGAAGAAATTGAAAATTTGTTTTAAAAATGCCACTGACTACTTGACTTCATGGTTTGCGCATCTTCTGAATCTCTTTCAGAAGCCATCCCCCTGAATTGATTGACATCCTGACACTGGGCACCCCACATAGATGTCAATGCAATGGGGACATGATGGCTCTTCCAGCCATGGGATGTATGATCTCATTTGTCACGTCAGGGGATGGGACACCATCACACCCGGGAAGGAGGATCTAGGTAGGGTGTTCCCAGAGGACAGGCAGAGTCAAGACCTCTTGAAACACTGATCTTGGATCCACTTTGATCTGTCTGGTGCTGCCTCACATCATGAGAGAAGCTGTGGAGATACGAGGTGCTGACCAGCATTACTTGTAAACCCCCTCCTGATATCGACCTGGTTCATCCCAGCAGTGTCTAAAACATCCCCATGGTCAAAAGAGAAACTTATAACACACATTGCTCTTTTTTCATGCCCAAATCAATCTAGGTTACTTTTAGAGACAAAATAAAAACCCCTTTAAGCTTGTGGGTTATAGTGAAAATGGTAACAGAATCACAAACATTGACACTAATGCACAAGGACTTTGTTTTACATAAGTATTGGTAGCATACAATCCAAGTTCCATCAGATGTTAAAGAATAAACTGCAGGTTTTATCTAGTGGGTCTTTGAGCACCAATGAGGAGTAAATGATTTGATTTTGTGAGCTCGCAGGATTTGTCAGCTGCCTCATATGTATAATTCTGGCTCTTCATATTCCTGCTGCTTCTAATTTAGCAGGACAGGCTCATAATTGAAGCAAATTAACTATTTACACTTGCCACTTCTACCAGGGGAAGAGGACACATCAGCAGGAAAGAATGAGTGGGAAATTAAATTCTTCCCCACTTGTGTCAGATCTGCCCTTATATAAACACATTAACAGTAATTTCATGAGGCGTCAACCATAGGAATAAATACTGAGGGATAAAATAATGAGGTGTTGCTATTGAGCTGAACTGTTGCAGCTAATATTACTGTCTATGAATTATGCAGCCTGAAAGAAAGCATCTGTCACAGCACTCAAACAGTCCTTTCACCTGCTTCTTCTGATTGCTGAGTTTTGGGTGCCTGAGTGAATCCCCCCTTCTCCCAGCTGTAGGACCAGTGCAATGTTGAAGCAAACATACAGGAACACAAGCACACACACACTAAGCTGTTCATAGGAGGCCAAATTAATTCCTACTAGAATTCCAGTTATGTCACTGAAGTTACACCAGAGATTAATTTTGTTGAATGTTGAATAGACATTCAATTCCATTTTTAGAATAACAGAGCATTTATTAAGGTCTTTGGCTGAAGTTTTAAAGTTACACTAATGTAAACAAGAACATTTTGTTTGTAATTTGCCACATCTATTACAGCTTTACTAGAACTCCAATTAGAAACTTAAGGTTCATTTAGTACATGCACATCTGGTACTGATTTAAAATTACTTTCCTTTTTCATCTAAGGACAGAAAATGACCTAAATAGCCTTTTTACCCAGTTTAAACCAGTGTTCTGTCTGAAAGCCAGTGACTCAACCATTTAGCATGCTGATCCCTCTTTCCTAGGGGCTGTTTATCTCCCTTCTGCAGTAAAAAAGTGTGCAAAGGGCAAAGATGGACACAGATAAGCTACAGAAGTGGGATGCACAAAAATATAGCACTAAGGAGAAAACAGTGTTTGTGACCATAAGAGAGGAGTTGGAAAAATCACTGAAAAAAAAAGTATCCCAGTGCTGTGGATACAGCATTGAGGAGAATGTACCTCAACAGACTACTGCTACAGCTGCCTAGCATTCACATATTTATTAATCTGAACACTTTTAGAAAGCATTTACAGTGAAAAATGAAGGAAAATGCACAGTGCTTACTTCTGATCATGTGTAATTATTGTACTCTATCCATAATTTGAGAAGTCCATGACGAAGTCCACCATGACAACTAAACTCCCTTTAACTTCTAGACTCTGTAGATAGATTTGGACAAACAAAATACTGGCACACACCAGCATTGTTTGCAAAGGAGCCTTTTACACACAGAAATTAATGGGAACATATGGTTCAAAATTCAAACGTCTTCTTATGATAAAATAAGAGGGAAGTACACTGGTATCTGCTGTAGTCTACTAAATTGCATTATTCTCATGGTAAGAGTATCAGAGTGCAATCCATTTTAAGCATAACCCTCCCCTAACTTCAGTAAGGCACCCACCATCAGCTAGTTCATAACACCATTTCCTTTTTTGTCATTCAAATTCTATTTTCTCAAATAACACTTCCCTAGTTCTTCACAGTTTGAAAAACATATGTGGTTATTGCAGAAAGCTTTTCAAGCTACAGTCTAATATGCCAGCTTATAAAAATTTTGTTTTAAAGTCTTGGACATACATATACTGCCCTTAGGTCATTATTGTACTGAGTTTCTATACTTTCATTTATTCTGTGGTCAATCTTCAGGAATAAACAAGAAGAATTCTATGCATTTTAGAGAAAAAAATGGCTCAGATCATAGGAACAAAGAAGATTTCATTTTAGCATGAAAACACGAGGCTATTCTTTCTCAATAGCTGCATTATTTTCTACTTTCTGACTCATTTATATTTACTGTTTAGATAGTAAGAGTTCCAATCCAGGAAACATAATTTGGAAACATATTTCTATTTAAATTCCAGAATAAGCATTAGCTTCCAAAATGTAAGCCAGAAGCTTTATGATAATTGAATCCTTTTCAGCAAGTATAATTCTTCAATAAAGTAGTCCTCAAATGATGTTATTGTTTCTTTATTTAACTATTTTTGAATTTCTGAAGCTTCTTCAATGCTAAATACCAAATGCTACATTAATAATTTGTATTTTTAGAGTCCAATTTTCCTACCAGAGACATAGGTTTCATAGCAGTTACTAATGCTCTGGATCTGAAAAATTAGGCCTTTAAAATACAGACTATCTGGTCAGTTAAGATGTCTTGTAACCATTACTTTGTACTATTAGATCCCTAATGGAATAAAAAACGAATTTAAATTTATTCTAGAAAATAGGATTGCCAATTTTATTTTTTTTAAATGGGATCTGTCTTTTACTATATTTGTACAGTGTTAGATTAGAAAGGGCTTGGGCCTGGAATTTTAAAAATGTGCTTATAATAGATGATAATGAATAAGCAAAATGAGTCAAAAAGCAACAAAGATATGCTAACCCAAACTCTTTAAAGAGTTGGCTTAAAAAAACATAGTTGCAGCCATTTTTACATGCATGTGTCATATGGATTCCCTAACACATCATTCATCTGTGTTTCAACTTAAATTAACAGCAACAGAGATAAGGAAAATAAATTTAGTTCTGTTCGTACAACACGATTTATTCAAACTTTGCTCTCAACCATGAATAGGAAATCAAAGTTAGAGATGGAAATTTAGGGTTTCATGCACTTTTCTTACACATTTCTGTGGAAGGGCTTTAATATTTTGGTGTTAGTACTCACATAACAAGCTCATGGAAATTTGAGCTTGACACTTCTCAAAGGAAATGTACATTTTTACAGTCTTTTAGGTTGGCCTTTGCTGGGCATATTAAAACAGGGAAAAGAAAGACACAACACAAGAAAATAACTCTAATGGCAGTCCAAGGGACAATATTGATTCTTTTTGCACTGGTATCTTTAACAAGGATCTACATGTACTTACACCACCCAGTTATTAGCAAAATAAAAAGAATAATTTTTTTTCCCCAAGCCCAAATAATTTTACATACCAAAAAAATCACTTAAATTAATTCTTCTTATTTTAACTACAATTTCGTAATAACAGTGCATGAATAAATGAGATTCATTTAATTCCCAGTACTTTTCCACTCTCTGTGCTGACATCAACCCCAGTCCAGGTCTCCTGTAGCCAATATAACTCTCACTCAGCACATCCTTTCCTTTCATATCTGTTGCTTTCTTAAAGTTCCCATTCCTTCATCAATCCAATCCATTCAGTTGGCAGTTAGTAAGTTAGTTAGTATGCAACCAATAACAACAGAAGAGCAATGGTATGCTACAGTGAGGATCAATGGTATTTGCCAGCTGTCACCACTTAAATGTGATGAGCTTCCAGAATTGCTCACTTTTACACAGGTTCAACTGACTTGGAAGGATTTCTGCCAAGTTTCAGGTCTTGAAACTTGGTGTCAGGTCTGGCCTCATTGTAGAACCAAGGCCTTCCATGGAAGACAGAAGTAAGCTTGGGAAGTGATTTCCACAGCCCACGTACATGCCAGAGGATGCCCATTGCCAGCATCCATCCTAGGTCTCTTTGGGTCAACACATCACTAACTTCTTTCATAAAAGGTTTGGGAGCAAATGTGAGCCCAGCTTCACTTCTGGCACCATGGGATCATGGGGAAGGGGAATATCTGCAAGTGGGCGCTCAGATATATGTCTGCTCCCACTGCACAGTTTTGCAGCTTTGGCAGCAAGGTCCTCTTACATGGCAGTTTCACATACAGGACAATGACATTGTAAAATCCTAGGCCCACAGATTTCAGCATAAAACATTCCTAAATATAATCCTAAAACTTGCGCCACATCCCAAAACAAGTTAAACTCTTTCAGTAGTTTCCTACAGATGAAATAAAATGATACTCTCCTTATCTCAGTCTCTTTAAATCATATTCCTGAGATGGCAGATATTCAAGATTCATCCTGGCTAACAAAAGAAGCTGCCTACAGTGCTCAGATGACCTTGATAACACTTCCCTGAAACAAAGCCTCTGAGCTACAGTACATATTGTACCTGTTTTTGTTCTTCTCCTAAGCCGTCCCACATTGAAGCTACAATTTTAGAGACTTCACCAAAAGTAGCATTGGGGTTTTGGCCCTTGATGGCTGCTTGAGTGTCACGAAAGAATAATGCATAGGCAGACACAGGCTTCTGTGGCTCATTTGGGTCCTTCTTCTTCTTCTTTTTGGGAGTTTTCGGTTTCTTTCCTATATCTGAAGCAGGTCTTTTCTCGCCACCGTTGACCTGTAACATAAAATTAGGAAAGTACTATAAAAAAAAGACAGTTTCATTCACTCCAGCCACTGTTACAACCTCTGTGATGCAAAATCTTTGGATTTTGCATGCAGAAATGAAATTTCTGTTGTTATCTTTGATAATCCAAATGTTGATACTATCTGCATTAGTCACATATATAAAATTCCCTATAAGTATTTTGGATAATGCTATTTTTCCCTTAAATACTTTATGTTTCTCTTTCATATAATTGCTATAGTCTCTGTCATCTTTTTACTTTTTCTAAGTTTTATTGCTAGTGGTTATAACAAGAAAATAATGAGAAAATTCAAATGAAATTGGTTTCTCTATAGCCTGAATATCAGTCCAACAACATGAACCATCTGCAGACAGCAGGAACACTGTCATTTCTACCTTTTGCTTATTCTCCTCTTTCCCTAGAATGACCCCAGACTACTGTTCAAATCAATTTCTTCTGCAGCTGGTGGTATATCTTCCAGAGTCTTTGAGGAAAATCTGGTTGTGAACCAAGCAATTCAAGTTACAGACATTCCCCTACACACCTTGTAATGAAAGTCTGAAGAAACAAACCTTTACTAGTATAGAGAGTTTAGAGCCCTTTAAAGAATCTGTTTTGGCCTATCTGGATTTAGCTGAGTAGATTTTGTATCTGCTCATGTAAAAGCAAATGGTTTGAGGAAAGGAGTGAAAGATGAACGGTGTATGGAGGAAAGCCCATGTGCCTTATTTATGCACCACCTGAAGAAACCCTGCACGTGAGCATTTGTGCAAACCCCAAAGCAAATAGGTTTTCCAAGAGAAGCTGGTGAAGGGTCTGGAACTGTCTTGTGAGGAGCAGCTGATGAAACAGGGGTTCTTTAGCCTGGAGAAAAGAAGGCTCAGGAGAGACCTTATCACTCTCTACAACTGCTTGAAAGAAGGTTGTAGCAAGGTGAGTGTTGGTCTCTTGACCTGTTACAAGCTAGAGAATGAGAAGAAATGGCCTCAAGTTGCCCCTGGGAAAGTTTAGATTGGATATTAGGAAAAAATTCTTCACCAAAAAGATTGTCAAGCATTGGAACAGGCTGCCCAGGGAAATGGTGGAGTCACTCTCCCTGGAGGCATTTAAAAGATGCGTAGATGTGGCTCCTGGGCACATGGTTTCGTGGTGAGCTTGGAAGTGTGAGGTTAACAATTAGACTCGATGATCTTAAAGGTCTTTTCCAACCTAAATGATTCTAGGATTCTATGACTTACAAGCACATAAAGGGACAATAACCTGATTCTTCAACACATTGGAGCTCCATGGAAAAATAGCTTTTCTTGATATGATCACTTAATTTACTGTAACTGTAGAAATGGTGTGTGATCTCACAAGTGGGTTGAAAGGCTTTTTTTTTCCTTTTGTCAGCATGACCAAAGTACTATGTACTATAAGCATTTTTAAGAGAAGAGAAGATCAAGAGCATAAATGGTATGCTCTAGGCTAAGGATCTACTAGGCATGACTTCTTTCACTTCCTTCTATTATTAGTTTATAATAATGCGTATCAAGTGGCACAGGAGGATACAGGTGTCCTAATCATTGGAACTGCTTGAGGAAAATGGCTGGAAAGCTTCATTTTTGAGAAAAAGAACTTTTTTATTTTCCTGTATGCCTCACTATGTGGTGTCCAACAGAACCTAAGCGACTACAGTGAAAAATCTCAATCTCTGTGACTGAGACACAGTGATGTGAAAGTGATGAGTAGGACTTGAAAATGAAGTTGCTTGTTTTCTGAGCATTATGTTACAATAGTTGCAACTTTAATAAAAAGTTAATAGACGCACAGCCCATTGTCAGCATTTGGAAAATACGGAAAAACAAAATTGTGCTAGCCTTTACTAAGTTATCCAGCTTTTTGTCTCTCGCTGGTTTTTTATTCTACAGGGTACACAAAACTAGCAGTTAAAGTATAATTAACTGGGACTTTGATTTGAAAACATTAGTCTAAACTTTTCAGTCCAGTGCAGACTCCACGAGCAAGAAGACTTTGAAATAATTAGTTCTATAGTTAAAATTTTACCTGTGTGATTTGCAAACGTATTTCTTCTTTCAGTTAATTTTTGAACCAATGAGATTTAAAAGTTCCCTGTACGTCATGATACTACATTACTTCAAGTACCCTTAAACTAGGTGATATACTACAGAAACTTGTGTAAGTGCCTTCTGGTAAGCTGTTCTGTGAACAGCTCTAAAAACTTATTCTCCAACCCTAATGATCAAGAGACTTCAAAAACCCACTGTTAAAAACAGAGTACTCACAGGGGAAACTCTGTTTGTCTTATATGAAAATAACGAAATAAAAAGAATACCAGAATTCCAGTACTAATAACCTTGCAAATGGCTGAGATGATGGCCTGCCTTATGCTCCCATCAGTCTATCAGCTTCACAGACTCCACTTCTAACCACCAAAGCAGAGACAGATGGAAAATAAAATAAAAACCATATATATTCTGCTAGGCATAGACTTGTGCTTCAAAATCCCTGGAGGTGTAGTTAGCTCATGGTAATCCACCTCCTGTCATGGCTTATTGCTTAATTATGGTGATGTATTTAACTTATTTATCACAAGAAAGCAATAATCTTTCACTTTAAAAAAGTGTACATTAACCATGTTGCACACATAATAGATCACAAGAATATCTAGTGTAGGATTTAAAACTATCAAGTAAGGCACATCGTTGATATCTAAATGTCCCTTGAGAACCTGGAAAATGTCTATAAGCATATTTAAAATAAACTGCAATAGTACCAAAGCCTTTAATGGAGCTAGGAGAGCTGTTTTATGCACACTATCTTGCAGTAATCGCTGTAGTTTAAAATAGATTTTAATCAAGCACCATCTGCATAATAGGCTGAACAGACAACACAGAATTCCACTTATAACTCCTATCATATAAAGTAAATATTGTAAAACCTCTGCCACATAAGGAGAATATGCTGCAGCAGTTCTTTAGTAATTGTGTTTCTGTTATTTAATTCTTGCTACTTGCAGTCCTCTCACTATCTTCCCTCTAAAATACATTATTTGAATTTCTCTCAGAAGTGATATGCAAATGAACATGGCAGAAAACCCTGTTATCCATCTATGAAGAAATACTTATTTACAAACCAGTAATGCTTCCAGAAGTTCACAATTATGCTGGCAGTAATGAAGTACAAGTTTAACGATCCAACAGTGTGAATTATGGCAAGAATTACATAAATGTAATATTCCAGTGTTCAGGTGGTCAGAATAAGGTGTGCTAAGTGGCCACTTGGTTTATAATGTTTTTATTGTTACTTATGACTACTAATTTTTATGTTCTCCCTTTTTTATTCTTCTAATGATAGCCCCACATATGAGATTTAGAAGAATTAAGGAGCCTTAGTGATGTGCACCCCTTGCAGAGACAATGCCCTTAGTCTGAGGCTACTTTTCACAGTTCCATGCTCTTAGCATCTCTCTGAATGCATATCCAACCTTACAATTATGCTACAGTTGTCACTGATCTTATGGTCAAACAACCTCAGTTGTCCTGCTTTTAGAGCAATAGCATGGAGGGAAACGGAGCCCTCTATAATGTAGCTCCTTTCCCTTTCTTTGAGCAAGGGAATATAGAACAGTTGAAGTCTGAACAGCCTATATGAAAGACTTTTTATGAGAATGACTATTGCCAAACAATGTTTAGCTGTTCCTGCATTAGTTCTGTGTATGCTGGATAAGGCTTACAACAATTTGGATATTTATCGTAGAATGAACATCTGAGAAGTTCAGTATATGAACAATTGCATCAGTTTGCATAGCTCAGTGCTGAAATTTGGAATATATATATATATATATATATATACACATATATAGAGCTGAATATATACATACATATATATATATACATATAGAGCTGAAATGGTCATTTCCTTCAAGCATGAAAATTAGTGGTTTATAGGCAACAATTATACTTTTAGTCTAAATGTGTACATAAAGTACGTATTTTTTTATACCTTCCATCATGCTCTTTCTATAAATTCATGTAAATATGGACAGGATATTGAGATTTCTGTATTTTTTCTCTATATAGAAATAGGTATAGATTTAAGGACCTCTTTACCAAATACGCTGTGAAAAGACCAGTGGCTTCTTTTTCACACATTTCAGCTGGTATAAACTGAAGGGGGTCATCTGACACTGAGGTGATTTTCCATTTGGAAATGTACTTTGTCTTTTGATCAGTGTGGGTACACAGGCAAACATCCTGTCCTGCTGGTTAAATGGGGAGAATGCCACTATTGCTGTTTAATGACACAGTGAGTTCAGGGGGAGTTGGTTTTTACCAACAGTGCTCATGGCAGGAACATCTCTGACTCCATGAAATAAACTCCAACAGTGACCCCATGACTACAACATGTGCACTCCTAGTGAAGAACTGGCTAATGGGCTCTGGCCCTGATCTATTAAATAATATCACACATCTGCATGAGAGTTCATAAACCAAAGAAAAAAAATCCAAATTTCGCCCAGTTATGTTCAGTTAAAAGATAGATGTTCTCACAAGAGACAGAACAGTCAATCTGTTCCTGTCCCCATCCAGTGCCTTCCTTCACTGGGAAGAGGATTCCTAGAGTGAGAACTTTCACAGGCCCCTCCAAAGCAACTCAGATAAAGTGTAATACTGGTGTATCTGGGGAGAAAGATCTCCACAGAAAACTGGTTAATTTTGAATATTCTTATCCACTCACTGGCAGATTCCAGGAAGAGCAACGTGACACAAAGATACAGAGTGGAGAGCTTTAAATCTTGAACTACAACAGTATACTTAACTCAGACTGATTATTTAACCCCTCTTGTCTTTTAAAGAGGGAACTACAGAAGGATCATGACATGAGATCAGGCATGGCAGCCCACTGCCTGTCTCCATTGGTGGCCAGCCTCAGGTGTTTTCATGAAGCCCTAAGAAATCCTACAGAAGTCATGTATGGTGTTATCTGTTCCACATCAAGCTTGCTGTTTAAACCATATTAGATGGAGAAGAATTTAAGCCCTCTGTCAATATTAACCAAAAGTAAGATCCTTTAAAACTTTTCTCTTAGCAGTGAAATTATAATTTTAAGATAATGTGTCTATTTTAGCACACTGGATTTAATTTTGTGTCATGTGTAACGCCATTTGCCATCTTTTTCTGCTTAAACTGAGCATGAGATAAATTTAAAGAGAGTTTTCCAAAATATAAAATCCTTTTTGAAAGTTGAACACTATATAAACTGGCTTTCACAAAGAAAGGACCAAGTTTTACTTGGTCTGCAGTTCTTTGTATTTCTCTGTTAAAAACATTAGCTTCAGATAACTACTGCTTGCTTGAAACCACAACCCTACACTTTTGCCAGTGTAGCCACAACGTGCTACACTGTGAAAAAGTGCATTAAAGATATAGGTTAAATAAGTTAAATACTTGATAGGAGTAGAAAGGAAATCCTAATTATTTGAATGGGTATTTCCTCCAGAAGTTTAGAGCATCTTGCACACTCCCAGCAAAGTAAAAATATTAACAATGCAACAAGAGTAGCAAATAAATTATTCTGAAAAAAGTAAAGGTTGCCTGGAATTATTTTTACATATCTGAATTCTAAAGTCTCCCTCAGTAAGGAAGTGCTCATTTAAATGTATGAATTATTCAGTAATTTTTAAAACCTAAAGTTTGTGAAATCAGGGGAATGTCCTGAAATAAAACTTTTGAATCAGAATTTATTCAAAATGTACTAAAACATATGTCTCCAATTACATGATTATTTTATAGCTTGAGGCATGAAAAACAATACAATGTTAAAACAAATCAGACTTACATTTCTTGACTGGATTATACCTCCTCAGTGACTCACAATATGTTTTCTTCACACTCCCTGCAAGTCTGTAACTTTTCCCCACCAGACGTGGCTGTGGTACACGCTGCACTGCATGTGGCACACACTGCACTGCAGGAGTGCTCTAACAGGACTGCTATTTCCCAGTGACCACAAAACAGATCTAAGGAAGTTCTCAGTTTTGACATGCTACATTCCTGGTTTAAGGGGTGACTTAGTACAAAGTCCCAATCTTCCTGTGTCTCAGCTTTTCTGTCTGCAAAATTAAGATAATAGACTTGTGTATTTCTGGGAGGTTTTCAGGATTTTTGGGAGATTTGGGAGATTTTTGCATGCAAAACCTGCTATATAGATTGACATTTATCCTTTAAAGAAATTTATTATGTAAATTACTCTTATCACTTCATTCCTGTGCTGACATGGAAATGAAGCTTAAACATGTCATAAGGAAGTGTCAGCACCTCTCAAAGTATAACTGCATACAGGGTCTTCCAGATTTTCAAGGTAAGGTTTTAAAGTTCATAGGATCTTTCTGTTCTGGTTGCTATGATGTTCTGTTTACTCATCCTGTGACCAAGTAGCAAAGACTAGCATATTGCACAGACTGTTCATACTTTTTATAGCAGTAACTTGATCTTTAACTAGGAACAAACATCCCTGCTATGCAAGTGAGAAAACTCAACCCTTATATTAAAGTCCTAAAGGAATAACTATCCTTTCAGTGTTTAACAGTATTCCAGCTTGCTCTCACAAAGAGGAATGATGTCATTTACTCAAGCTGCCTGAAGAATTGTCTGGATATTGTAAGTTCTGTATTCATAACCCTTTGTTCACTTCAGTGAACCACCAGCCATGTATAAAGTATCACCTTAATAACTGTGGCCATATCATTCATTGAGCAGGTCCTAGAAATATCCACCAATTACATAGTAAACCTAGCATCTAAGCCTACCTTAGAGCTATCTTCTCCTTCATCTTCATGGACTGAACTGGATGGTGAAGGAGTTGCAGATTTGCTTCCAGGTGGAGAGGGCGAGTTGTGAGGAACACTGTTTCCACCCATATTCAAACCAAGCTGTGCACTGAGCTGGGACTGGTTAATAGTAGTCAGCTGCCCGTGCTGCATCATTCCTGGCTGCCTAATATCTGCAGGTTGAACCCTTGGCCTCATGGTTGCCATCTGAGGATGGGAACTATACTGGGCTCCTTCTGTATTCCGTAAATCTTGCATCTACAAGAGGAAAAAAACTGTATTAAGCATATCACTAATAAAGTGTTCTGTTCCTTTAGACCTTGTTTGGCCTGATTGGCTAGGTAAGGCTTAAAGGAAATGGCAAGTACTTAAATAAACATGTAAATACTGAAAATGAACATAGTAAGGATATGATTGACATTTTCATAACACTGACTGTTATAAAGAATTCAGGCTCTAGCCTCAGCCCTTGGAAATAGCAAAAAAAAAAAAAAAAAGCAATGAAAGCTCAACTTTTTTCATGGAGGGAACAAAAGGGCACTGCTTTCTGTAACTGCATGTAGGGTATTTCTGAAATGCTAACAAACAGGGACAGCTTTGCACCCTGAAGTTCACATCTAGACCAGACATGAACATCCTCAAAATTCAAGATAACTTCCAGATCCTGCTTTTTTAACACAGGATTTTGGTGGTTTTGAGTTGTGATTTGGGAGCTGCTGGGAATTTTCAGTCTGAATATCTAGTATTATGTCCGAATCTATTTTAGCTGGTGCTGCCCAATGAGAAACTGGACTTTTCAGGATTCAAACCATCGACAAGAAGGATGCATTGATAGACTGATTAAATGATTTCTGAGTCGATTTACTGCTAAGACATATATGAATGGAAAGCTCAGAAATCTCAGGATTGACAATTGAATCCATTGTGCTATGTGGGTCACTGCTTCTTAGCATTAACGAGACATACTATTTGAATGCAAGCAACAGATTCAGTCTCTGCAAGGATAAGAATTAAAAGCACTGGAGGATGAAACTCCTTTCTTGTCCAGAGGTCAAATGCACCATACACACAGACCTCAGCAGATTGCCTGTAACCTCTTTTCAGTACACTCATACAGAAACACGACAAGTAGCAAAGAGACGCTCAGATTTAAGCTGAGATGTTCTGTGGGTGATTTAAAATGGAAGTATAAATTCAGACCTGAAATAAAATAGATATGGTTGTCTTTCTGTGCATCAGACAAACATCTGTGTATGAATAAAGCAGAATCTGACAGGAGCTACCATTGTGTAAGTTCCATTATGATAAGGACATGTGTTAGTGGTTCAATATATTAACATAGTCACATTTATTGTAGTGACAGTCTTTGTTAGACATGTCATCTGAATTGTCTAAAGATCACTCAGATTTTATTTCTTTTAAAAATCTTTTTATAGCTCATGATTTCTATAACCTATCTCTTGCTCCTATACACACCCCCACACATGACAGCAATCTGTAAGATACCTTTCAACCAGTAACACACAGGAAAAAGTAAAGATAAACCTGTAACTTCATCTTTTCTCTTACTATTGACAGGGTAAAAATATATCAATTTTAAGGAGATATTTTATTATATTTTATGAGCTTGGGGATTGATTTTTGTAAAGGTGACTTGTGGGCAGTAAATCAAACTAATAATACCATTAGTTATGACATACTTACCACTTTACATCTACTTGTGTCTCTGAAAAGCATTTGAATTGGCTTCTGACAATGTGACATCACAATTATACCTGTATTTATGTTATTTTAGAAATTAATAGCTTTTAGTAAAAAAGAGTTATCGATAAAAACTTGTTTTCCAAGTTCATTTAATGACTACTAAAGCACTGGAGGAAAGGAGCACAGAGAGCACAGTGGATGAAATCAATTGAAAGCTGAAATTTGAATCCTGGTAGACATTTATATTTTTAAATTGCTACCAGAGAGCACAGTGGATGAAATCAATTGAAAGCTGAAATTTGAATCCTGGTAGACATTTATATTTTTAAATTGCTACTGATTTCTTGGTCCCTTTCCTCCGGTATCAGCTCCCTCCTTCCCAAACATATTAGCCTTGAAAGCTACCATTATCTTTTCCTCTAGCAGAGAACCTGCATCAAAACAGTGCCTAATCAAAACAGTGCCTATGAAGCTGTAACTGCTGCTCAGATGCTTTGCTCTGGATCCAGCTGTTGAGCTGGGCAGCAGCTGGAGAAAGTGGAGTAACATTGAGGGGTCTACAGGTGTTTTTGGCCAGTATGGGGCAAAAAGTAAGGGGATGGGAACCTGCAGAGTCCCTCATGTGCTCGGCACAGAGAGGAAAAACCCTCCCCAAAGCCCTCCCTTCATCCTGTCTGCAGACTCAGCGTGGGTGTGTGCCCTCCCCAGGCACCCTTCACCCTGCAGGGGCTGAGCCCTCAGGTTTTCATGGGGCAGCATCTCGTGGTGCAGAATAAACCCTTCCATGGAGGGCTGGAAAAGCTTGACTGATTTTTAGGAAGGCTGGGTATCCTAATGGTTTTATGAACCCTAGAAATGTGACAACATGAAACTCCCAACTCTTACTTTGAATGAACTTCAAAATTATCTATCTCTAAAAGCAGAGCAAGGGCTACCATTTTAATTACTTTCCCTCAAATAAAATATGATACAATTGCTTTAACTGATGCACAGGAAGTTCTACCTGAATATGTGGAAGAACCTCTTTATTGTGTGAGTGAGTGGGTGACTGTGCACTGGAACGGATTGCCAGGGAAGTGGAGACTCCCTCGCTGGAGATTCTTAAGAACCATCTGGATGCAATCCTGTGCCATGTGCTCTGGGATGACCCTGCCTTAGCAGGAAACCTGGACCAGATGACCCACTGTGGTCCCTTCCAACCTGACCCATTCTGTGGTTCTCTGATTCTGCTATTATTCAAAAAGACCTCTCCTTTAAGAGCTTCAAATATCAGATAGATAATACAGAACATTCTGTGTTTGTCTTCTTTAAACAACATATATTTTTAAACAGTCTGAAATACAATTTTAGCTCCAATACTGAACATAGGCTGTGTTGTCAGATAATAGAACAACTGAATAATACTGAATGTATCCCTATACAAAACATATGTATCCCCCATACAAAACATATTTGCAAGAGTACTTTTCACTAGGGAAATTCTGAGGACTGCAAATGAGGTGATGGAGTAAAAAAACCCCAGTATTTTTCTTTTCACATGGATTCAGCTTCTCTCCTGAATTTTTAAATCAGTTGAATCTACCTACCTTCAGAAAACCAGGTGTAAGCAGCAAATAAGCTTGTTTAACAGTACACTTTCTCTTTCAGATCCTAAGCCAGAAGCCCTCACCTAAGGGACCTGCCTGCAGAGAACAAGCCAATTGTTCTAAGACCATTGCACAGAGCTGTGGCACTCAGGATCCACAAACATGATTCACATCTGCAGATGAGACTTTTGGCTCACCTCTTTACCATGCACTGCAGAGCCTGCCTTCTCCCATCCTGCCCCTACCTGGTGAAAAAGTGGGATTGTCTAAGAAAATGGAAACTGCTCATTCCTTGAGTAAGAATGGGCAATTAATCACATAAATGTAAAAAGTTGTGAGATCACACTGTGGAAAACATGAACTTTCATGTTCCTAAAGGGTCAACAAAGCCAAGAACTGCCCCATCTCCTCTGTAGGTTCAATAACATACTCAGCCATGAAAACCACACATTTGGGTCACTGCTGTGGCATAATGGTATGTCCCTGTCACAGATGCTGTGACAACCTCCTCTCTGCAGAATAGTAACACGAATCAGACACACTCTCTGTCAAAATGTATGACCAATTTCTTCTAAACTACTTCAGAATCTGAAACCTCATATTCCTTTTTCTTCCAGATGGAGTTTTACAAAGCCCACCGCTGTGTAGCTGTGCTGGAGCCATATTCAGTATGCAGAGGCAATATTGCAAACCCACTCCTGCCGAATGCAAAGCTGAACAGAAATCCTGACGGATGGCAGGATGCCAAATGGAAGAACAAAGTTAAAGAGTTTTGAGTGTTACAGAGGATAAGGACAGTCTTAAACTGACATCTTCAACGGTCTCTGTGATGAGGTAATAATGATAATATCTGGCACTTTAATATCATTCTCCATCTGTCAGTTCCAGGATGTTTCACAACTTGAGTTATATTCAGCTTTAGAACATGCCTGGCTTTATTTTGGTTTTACTAATGGGGAAGCTATGATTCATTTCTTTTCATGGCTATTTTTTTTTTTCTGTTTGCATTTCGCTTATAAGCGGAAACTGAGCATTCAGTCACGTAAGTGTTTGACTGTAAGTTAAAAGACAGTACAAGTCCCAAAATATAAGGTGTGCACCAAAGCCCCTTATTGACACATGGGTAGTGCAAAACCAGAACAGGGCTGTCTGGTTGAAGTTGAGCTCCTAATGCCCTGCTCAAAGCTCCTGAGGTACTAAGAATAAGGCTAAAGAGCTTTAAACATCAGTCTGTCGTTCATCCCATCAGCTTAGAGTAAAAACAAAGCAAAGCATGCAGGGCAGAATACAGTGATATCATCCCTGTAAAGAAACATCTCACTGGAGGACAATGTGAGTACAGTATCCTAATCACAGAATCACAGAAAATAGTGCTAGAAGGGACCTCAAAAGGTTATTTAGTCCAACATTATCTCACAGCAGGATTAGCTATACCTAAATCATTTCTGACATATGTTTGTCTAACCTCTTCATAACCTCCCTAGGCAATTCTTGTGCTTAACTATCCTTACAGTGGAAAGGGCTTTTTTCCATAATGTCTCACCTAAATCTCCTTTGTTGTAATTTAAACCTACTACTTTTTGCTTTGCTCCCAGTGGACATGAGGAATGTTTTTCTCCTTCTTTACAGAAAAGTTGTACACAGTAGAAGGCTATTACGACTTTCCTTTTGGTTTTTTCTTTTTTAGACTAAACTAAACCTGAAGATTGAAAGACTTTGTTTATATGCTGTGTTTTCTACACCTCTGATCATTCTTTCTGCTGTCCTCTGGACTATATCCAATAACCTTCATATTTCTTGAAATATTGTGCTCTGAACTCCACAAAACACAGATATTTTCATCTGACACAGCATTCAGATAGAATCCTTCATCTCTCACAGAACGTAGCACATAGCAATAAAAAACCCAAACTGAATTATAAGCCTTTTTGATACAAGGTGGTTAACCCATGCAAAATGCAGAAAGAG